TGAGGTTTTGATTTGGATTTCCCTGATGCCGAGCGATGCTGAGCACGTTTTCGTGTGTCTGTTGGCCATTTGGATGTCGTCTTTGCAGAAATGTCTGTTCATGTCTTCTGCTCATTTCTTGATTGGATCATTTGTTCTTTGGGTGTTGAGTTTGAGAAGTTCTTTATAGATTTTGGGTACTTGGGCTCCCTTGTCTTATCTTTGATATTGGTAGCTTCATTTCTTTGCTGCCACAGACTTTGTCAAAGCCCAGATGGCGCTGGGGACCCATGCCCCCTCTGTACCCCAGGTTTTCCCCGGCCCTGCTCCTCTAGCCCCGAGCAGCTCCCTACTGTCTGTGGGGGTGTTTCTCTTGCAGCGCCCAGATGGCATCAGGCCTGCATTGAACAGTCCTGTGGAAAGGCCAAACGGAGACCAGGAGGAGGGAGAAGCTTCTGTGCAGGTAAGGTCTGCACCCCGGAGAGAGTGTGTATGGGTCCCCAGGGGCAGTCCTGTGGTGCCTGGTGGTGGTGTTCAGTCCTGCCTCTGATGTTCATGAGGCCTGGGGCCGGGGTGGCAGAGAAGGCCCTGTGCCACATCGTCCCAGGATTTCAGATGAACAAACCAAGCTGTGCCCACAGCATGGCCTGCATTTCTACCCAGGGCCTGCAGCCAGCTCCCCAGGCATTATCCTCAGGACCCGGAGGAGAACGGAGTCATGCTGTCCCCGGGCCAGCTCTGCCACCTTGAGCTTGAGCACTAGGAGGGGCAGAGGGAAGCCGGGCATAGGCAGGACTCAGGGTGATTGGACATGAACCCAGAAGGAGACCGAATGGGGCTCGGCTCTCTCAAGTTCTTCCCCACACCTCACTTGCCCAACTCGGCATTTCCAGATACTTCCATGCACTTCACACAGATGAGACCCTCTTGAGTGGTGTGGAGGTGGGGAGGAGTGTGGTTATCCTGGGAGCCAGCTCTGCCTAGATATGCATGTGGGTGACTCGGGTGGCCGCCCCTTTCACAAGCAGCTCCTCTGTCTGGTTTCCAGGGCAGAGGTGCTCCCCTCAGCACACACTTAGCCCCCCACCCTGGGGGTTCGGTTCACACCCCTCGTCTATAATTCCCATTTGCTTAATCAATGACCACACTTTCCAGAAACTTTCTTAAGAGACTGGAAAAACCCCGAAACCACCCTGTCATTTTGTGTCTGCGTTTGTGATGTGGGGCTTCCTACTCACGGGGCTAGGGCTTGACACTGGTGCCGCCTTATCCACCAGGGTCTCTTGGGCCCTTTTTTTTTTTTTTTTAAAGATTTTAGTTATTTATTTGACAGAGAGAGACAACAGCGAGAGAGGGAACACAAGCAGGGGGAGTGGGAGGTGGGAGAGGGAGAAGCAGGCTTGCTGCTGAGCAGGGAGTCGGGGCGCTTCTTGAAGCAGCTGCTTTAATGGTTGAGTGACATGGAAGCTGCTTTCACCTTGTGTGTTTTTCCCTGCAAATGGGAAACCCTAAGACTAACACATTTTCAAATCCATTGCTGAGTTAAGTTTTTCAAATCCAAATCCGTATTTGGATTGGGCAGCATTTGTAAAATGGTGCCTGGCTTTTGCAGAAGGGATTCAGTTTTGCATTCCTGGGATTTTGGATAGCTGGTCCAGCCTAGATTTGAGTGCTGGGCTCGTTGGGGACCCCTGTGGGGAGAGCATGTTCAATTTCTGTCCTGATTCCCCAACTCTGTTTTTATAGTTAACGTGAAGATTTCTGAATTTTTTCTAGCACAGTGAAGGAAAATTACTTATTTCACAAGGAACATGCTGTATAGCGTTTTTAGTCATTCTCAAGAAGTAAGAAGTCCTTGGATAACAGTCTGTTAGCAAAGACCTCGATGTAGCCCAAGCATGGCATTAACTGTGCTAGTACTGAGTGCAGAGTCTCTCTCCTGCCCGAGCTCAGGCTGGCTTGGAAGCCGGCAGGGCTGGGGGTGGGCATTTGTTTCCTTCCTTCATCTCCTTCTCCATTCACCAGCTGCTCTTTCTACGTCCTCCCGAGTCAGGCTCAGGAGGAGGGTGGCTCAGGCCATGTGACCCCAGCGCGCGTGCGCGCACGCGCGCACACACTTGCACATGTATTACAGTTGTTACCTCACAGATCCCCCTGCCCCATCTAGCACTGGAAACCCTAACTTGGGCTGGCTATTTATGACCACCCCTACCTTTGGGGAGGCCATATCACCCTCCAAGTGGTCCTTTGGGCAAAGTCTGTTTTAACAACCTCAGGTTGCAGGGTCTGCAGCAGGGCCTTGGAGTCCATACCAGTTGAACTTGCTCCCCTCGCGGCCTTTTTTTATTTGCCACAAGCAGGTTTCTTTGTCTCGGGATTCCTCAGGTGTGTTAGTCACCACCAGTTCCCAGGGCCCTCAAACTCCAGGGATTATTAGTCTGGACACATGGCTCTCTTCAAGTCGCCTCACTCGCTAGGCTGAAGGCAGGGAAGGGTGGTGATGGTGCGTGACAGATAAGTGCCACACAGAGGAAATCTTACAAATAGGTTAATCTCTCAGCCTCTTCTACCTCAACTTTCTTGTCACCTAGAGTTAGGTGCTGGGCTGACACTGGCCAGCCTGGGTCCGTCCGGTAGCAGGAGCATAGATGGTCAGGCACCGGCCTAAGCGTGTGGAGGCGCCTGGGCATTGTCTTAGTGTTCAGAGCTTCAGCCAAAACTGAGAGAGTCCCATTTTAATACCCTGTTACACAAGGAATCATGTGATTTATAGCTGTTTAAAAGAGTCTTAGAATTTATCCCTTTTAATCTGCCTGCCTCTGTTTTCGGAGTCAAGTGAAGGTGTAAAATTTGTGCAGTAAATGTGATAAGACTTGTTTAAGTGTTGGAGCGATTTGTAGAGCTGAACAAAAACTTCCCAGAATGCAAACTTTATTATTTTCTGAGAGTACAGTTTCAAGGTGCCTATGTTTTTCATGCTGGTAATCCTGTACAATAAATTTCACTAATACTGAACATCTAGCTTGAGTCAGGTGCTGTTCCTAGTGGTGCACAAGCTTGATGCAGCAGCCTGCCTTTCAGGAGCCCACATCGGCCATTACACATATGCTGCTGGTTCCCCACCTGGCAGCATACCTCCCCGGGGGTCCAGAAGAACATTGTTTGGGGCACTTAGGTTGGGTGGGGAATCTGCTTGGGAGGTTAGCCTGTGGTCACAGTGGTCCCTCGCTTCCTCTGTGCCCAGACTGAGCGTGTGCCGCTAGACCTCAGTCCCCGGCTGGAGGAGGCCTTGGATTTCAGTGAGGTGGAGGTGGAGCCCAGTGAGGGGGAAGACTTTGAGGCCCGGGGCAGCCGCTTCTCCAAGTCTGCGGACGAGAGGCAGCGCATGCTGGTCCAGCGTAAGGATGACCTCCTGCAGCAGGCGCGCAAGTAAGTTGATCCTCTGGCTCTCGCTCATAGAAATCTCCAGTCACAACCCGGTGGCCCAGAGTTCCTTGTCACGTCAGGCCCATGTCGTGCCTTTTTAAACAGATGCCCAACAATGAAAAACCTTTAGAAACGTTCGGATTCCAAACCTTTCTTGGAAAACCAAAGGGTCTGGGCCTAACTGGTTGTAACTCCGGCGGGCTGTTGTCTCCCGAGGACGGCTTCGGCCACACTTACTCAGCACCCGTGTGCTCCTGGGACCTGAGCCCTTTGTGGTAATGAGTCAGAGTCTCTGACCTCCCAGAGGGAGCACTGTCACTGCATTCACGTGACAGACGTAGGGCTGAAAAAACAGGCCCAGAGAGGCTAAGCCCGGCCTGCCGTCCACTCCCAGGCGCGCCCTCCTGGCCACCGTGCCTGCAGGTGGAGCTCGGGGTGTCCCTGCGGGTGGCCCTCGGCGGGCCTCGTCCCTGCGGCCCAGAGCTTCTGCTCCTGTCCGGGGCCACGTGTCGTCTTCATGGGCTGCTGCCGAGTGCCCGCCTCATGAAGGTGCCTGTGAAACGGGGCCGGGGGAGGATAGATGAAGACACGGCCCGTGTGTTTCTGCGGGTCTGTGTTCCGGAGCTTCCCTCGCCCCTCACGCAAGTCCTTTGGGTTTTGTAGGCGTTTCCTGAACAGAAGTTCTGAAGTCGACTCAGCCTCCGAGAGCTGCCTCCCGTCAGAGGGCACGACCTCTGACCCCGTGACCCTGCGTCGGAGGATGCTGGCTGCGGCCGCCGAGCGGAGGCTCCAGAAGCAACAGACCTCCTAGCGCTCGCTCGCCGCCCCGCCATGGCCTCCGGCAGCACTGCTGCCCAGGCCCGGCCCGGCCGCGCTGTGCTGTATAAAGCATGTGGTCTAATAGTGTTCGGACGGCTGACAACCTTAATCCTTTTTTGTAATACTTTCTATGTGACATTTCTCTTCCCTTTAGAAACCCTGCACATTTTAATTTGAGGCATGATCTCTTCTGGCATTGACTGGACTTCTTAGGGGTGGGGTGACCGAGAAGAACAGGGTGGCTGGAGACCCCCGAAGCCGGCAGCTCTGATTCCTGGGTCGCAGCCGCTCGGAGAGGGCACCGTGGCCGCTGGTGTCCTTAGCTCCAACTCTGGCAGGCGGGCCGGGGGCAGGGCTCCGAAGGAGCCACGTGGGCTGTGCGGCCTGGCCCGACGACTCCACTGGGTACTTCCGACTGCCTGACCGCTGCTCTCAAAATGCTCCCGACGCCAGAGCCCCAGGCTCCTGGAGCCCTGGGCCGGCGGGGCATCTTGGAAAAGTGACTCTTGGTTTGCCAGGTGGAGCGGAGGAGGGGAAAGGCCGGGGCCGTAGAGTGGGAGGAGGTGGCCTGCCGTGTCCCAGTCCATCGGGGACTGCCCGCCGAGCCCTGACCCGCTAACGCTGGTGCTCCGGCAGGTCACGAGCACCCCTGCGTGTCTGTCCCCAGCTCGGGAGGTCACAGCCCCCCACCCCAGACATGGGGGCTGAGCAGCAAGCTTTGGGTTATGGTTTGAATTCCTTGGGCAAGTAAATGAGGTGATGCCAAAGTCTGTGGGTTTGGTCCTTAGAGAAAAGGAGGGCCTTACAAACTGGGCCAGTCACGGTTGGAGGGCTTTCTTGGAGAAATAAAGATCTCTTTTGTATCTTCCCTGGAGCTCTTCGTTTTCATCACTTTGCTCCTGTTGGTTTCATTAAACAGAAAGGTAAGATGTTAAATCCACCTCCCTCGGAGCAGACCCAGGTCCTGAACCTGTTCTTCAAATTCTTCACACATTTAACTTTCAGGATTTGAAACATGCAGTCACAGGCTACATAGTTCGGTTTTATGTCCTCTTGGATTCAGTTTTTTGTTTTTGTTTTTTTTGACGTTTTAAAGCATAGTTTTATGGTAGTCCTTTGGGGAAGAACCCAGTATTTAAACTTATTGGCAAAGTTTAAATGTATTTTACACAACTAAAGTTTTTGGAATGTTGACAAGTAATTGAAAAGAGTGATGAGTAAATGCTTAGGCCAAGATAATTTATTTGAATAAATCTTTCAAAAGCCTTACCTTGAAATGCTGTTAGTAGATTTCTGTGATTTTTTTAAAAAAATTGGTTTTGTTTTGCTGAGACCATAGCTATTTGTTTTTATTGTAAAACAATAATAAAAACGCAAACTCTTCTAGTGTGTTGTGTGTGGCTGGAAGCTAAGGCAGTTCTTTGAGAAGGGCCAGAATTGGATCCCACTGTGGTTTCCGTTGGAGGGTTTTTTCCCTGTCCATACACCCTGCATGTTGCACACATTAAGGTGACCCTAATTCCGTGCGTTCTTCGGTTTCAAATGTGTGAAAAGAGGGAATGGCTTGGAGACCATTTTAGAGGGTGTTGAGACATTGGAATAAAGCAATCCGACCATGATCAAAGCAGAGACCCGCCTTCGGTAGCTTAAATGACCCAAGAAAAGTCCTAAATGCACCCTTAGAATTTGTACCTGGATAGTAAAAGATCCTGGACACCATACAGTCTCTTGGCTTTTGTCACTTCTTGGGGGCATCTGGGACCGAGGCGGTGGCAGGAGGCCAGGCCCGGGTCTTGCCACATTGGGGGGGGGGGGCGGCTCCCATCCCGCTCTACCTCCCGGGTGTGGCTGTGTGCAGGCCGCGGGCGCCTGTTCTGTGGTCGGCCGGGCTGCGGGCTCAGGTTTGTCAGCTGAGAGCAGGGCCTGTGGGGAGTGGTGGCGGAGTTGCCCTTGCCTTCTCTGCGCTGTTTTGGAATTGGTCCGTGTTACTCCCTCCATTTTCTATGTTGACATTTTAGGTTCTCCTCAGTCCTGCACCCCTCCACCCCCCCCGGCCCAGATTTTGAGGCTTTTATGAACCACAGAAAGGTGGTCCTCGTGGATGGCTTCCCTGCGCTGGTAGAGATCCTAGTGTCCAGGTGGCCACCCGGACCTGATTTCCCACCGGAGCCGTGTAGATCATGTGCTCTCTTACCTTCAGCAGCAGCCGCGGTTGGGGGTGGAGGGCAAGCTGAGCGCTCCGCCGGGCAGGGCCCAGCACGCACAGGGAGCCACCGCCTTGTGACCAGTGTGTCAAGCGGTAACCTCTGCCCGCCTGCCCTGACGCCCTTCATCGCCCGGAAACCTCCATCTCTCATCACCCCTACTCGTGTTAGGTGAGAAGTGGTTCCAACCCGACTGCGCATTAGAGTCACCCGTGGAGCTTCTAGAAACCGTGAGGCCAAGGTTCTGCTCCCCTGCTCCTTGTTCTAATTGACTTGTCTTTCCCTGCACTCTTTCCCCCAAAATGCTTCCTGACTTCCATTTTAAGGAGGACAAGGCAGAGACCTGTTTGTTTTACCTACAAAACTCATTTGAAAAGTAGGAAAGAACACTGCTAGAATACGGCTTGTTTTTAGGGAACTTCAGGTAGACAGAGTCATGGCATTCTTCGACCTTGTGTCTGCATCCTGGTTTGCCCCCCAGACCAGTGTCACGTCATCCAGTTGTGGACCGTGAGTGCGACCTTGCCGTCACCGCGGATGGTGGGGGGCCTCCCCTGCAGGCAGGTCAGGGTGAGGGTTGCTGGTGGGAAAAGCAGGGGAAGGGGAGGTGCGGCCCGGCTGAGGAAGGCCAAGGGTGCCCGACCAGTTCTTTACAACAGGGAGAGTTAGCCTCTTGTTATTCCTAGCTCTGTGCGACAGTATGGACCTCTACCGCAACCCCCACTAAACTCAAAAGACCCTTGGGGCTGCTAGTGGGAGCGCCTCCCGGCTGGTCACTCCCATTTGGTGTGTGGAGAGGAGTCAACCAACTGACCTCTTCACGGCCCTCCTGTCCCCCTAGATGGCTGTCGCGCTGACCGCTTGGCTAAGAAGTGATCCGTGGACATGCTACAAGGACTTTGCTGTCTGGGTCCCCTCCAGGTCCCAGGCTCAAGCAGTTTGCTCGTTATTAGAGCACAAACCTGGCGAGCCAGGGGACCGGGGCGGGGGGGTAAGGCCGGCAGCCTGGAGGAGCAGAGAGTCCAGGCTGAGCCGATCTCGGTTATCCTGCGTGTTCAGCCTACGGTGGGCCCCCTGGCAGCCAGGCGCAGTACGGGAGGCTTTTAAAGATGTCCAGGTGGATGGATATTGACCCCTTGGGTGCAGGAGGCCCAGGCAACTTAGCCTTATTCGTTAGGACCAACCAACCACCTTCCCACTTCAGTGGAACCACTGGTACAGAAGAAATAAGACCCTATCTTAGCAGAAAGTTTGGAATTACCTGCTTTGCCCACCCCCACCCATTTTTTTTTTTTTTCCCATTCATTCCAGTCCTCAATTCCACCGTCCCCTCAAACCAGCTGAGTAAGGAGAGGCAGGGTGAGGGCCTCTGCAGGTGGGAATGGCCAGTCCATTCCATGGCCCTCCTTGCTCCCAGGTGGCTGAGCTCAGCAGGCTCCCCTTGGCGGGGTGGGGGTGGCACGGGGCGGGGGGGGGATGTGGATGTAGAGAAGGCCCGGGGTGGTGGTGCGGGGAGAAGATCCTTATTTGGCACTTGCAGCCCTACCCGCCAGCCTCCCCGTGTTTGTGGCCCAGTCAAATCCCTCCTTCCCTCCTGTCAGAATGAAGCCCGAGGGTGAGAGACTCAGGAATACAGACAAACATTCTCTTTATTGAGCTACACATGAATTTTCCATTAGTCAGAGAAGTAGACTGGCAGTGTGTAAGATATCACAGAAACCTCACCGATTGGGAATAGAAAGGCTTAGAAAGACCCGTGGGCTTTTTTTTTTTTTTTTCCTTTTTTTCAAGTTTTTTTTTTTTTCTGTATTTTTAATTTTTTTGTGTGTTTTGTCTTTTCACCTCCTTTTTATCTGAAATGGCCGTGACTGGTCTTCTTCAGCAAATAGTAAATCTGAAAAGTGACACCGTGAAGAGGCTGGGGGTTTGGATACTAGTCAAAGTAGAAATGACATAGGACTGATCATGGAAACTGGCTTTCATGTAAACACTACATTCCATCTGTTTTTAAAATTTTTTTTGTTTTTTTTTTCCATCATGTGGTATTTAAAAAGTTTTTTTTTGTTCTTTTTATCTGCAGCACAAACATCCCCACATGAGAAGGAGCGAACACAGGTCACTGAAACAAAGGAGAAGGCAGAAAGGGGCGCACACACACAAAGGGAGCATCCGAGAGACTGAGAAGCAAAAATGTCAAAGGAAAAAAAAAATCCACAACCCCGTTTCCCAAAGACTATGAAAGCTGATCTGGTATGTGATACAGAGTGCTCATCAGGACAAAAAACAAAAACGAAAACGAAAAGAAACAAATCATAAAGGGAATCTGTAGAAAGGAGGTTGCGGGAAAATCATTTTCTATAGGGTTCTATTTATATGTTTGATCAGGACTCTTTTTGGCAGCTACTGGCCAGTGAGAGCTGTGCTTTTCTGGGTGAACCTGGAGTGAGCCTGGGGCTGGCTGGCTTGGGGGGTGGGGGTGGGGGCACTCCGGGAAACACAGCCTGAGCATGCTCCCCAGAACCTGAGCCCCTAAGAGGGGCGGGCAGACAGGTGGCACCTCTGCAGGTGCACTGGGGGCCCCTCTACACTGGGGATGGGTGGGGGTGCGGGTGCAGTTGTGTATGTTGCTTTATTTCCAAAAAAAAAGAAAAAAAGAAAAAAAGACAAATATGGATGAAATGGTGAGTTTTCCTTTTTCCTCTTTTTTTTTTTAAGCTACAAAGCACATGAGAAATGTTCTTTTTTTTCCTTTCAAATTCTAAATGTAAAGACTCAACTAAAACCAGATTCTACAGCATTCTACAGAAATACACAGCCGTCAGTCACTCTGGGGTCGTAGGTTGGACAGGGGCTTGATACAGAAAGGCTGTGTGTCTTACAAAGGCCAAAAGGTCATGCTACCAGGAGATCAACGTCAACAGCAAAGAGTCCGTGAAGCAGTCTGTAGAGAGAGAGATAAGGGGGTCCAGTCTGACCATTTTCTTTGATTTTAAAAACCAACCAACCAAAAAAAAAAACCCCAAAAAACCCTAGAATATTTTTAATAATGTTGGCGTAGGGCAAGATGGGGCAGCATCACAGGAGGGATCAAGAACTCCAGGGGAGCCCAGCCCAGGCCCCCTGGGAGGCCTCACCCCAAAGGACCCTGACTCTGGTCAGGCCTACATTAATCCGGCCCTCCCCGGGCCACCGCTGTCCTTCTCACCTCCCCCCCTGCTCCCTCCGGGCCCTTCTCTTCTCCAGGGGGCTGGCTTCAACTCGGCAGGTGAATTGCAGCCATGGTCTCAATGTCCCCTCCCCTCAGCTGCTTCTAGAAAGCAGGCCAAGTCTCCTGTACCTCCAACTCTCGCCTTTGAATAAAGAAAACTCAGGAGACAGTGGATTGGCCAGAGCAACGATTCTTCTAAATTCTTGAAATTAACAACCACTGCCACCCAAGAGAGAAGCATCCTTAGTTTTCCTGTTGTTGGGAGTAGAGGGTAGGGAGAGGTTTGGGGTATTGGCCAGTTTTTGAAGGGCTTTGGAATTTGCGTGAGAGCAGGACAGAACTGAGACCACGCAGCCTTGGGGGGCGGGCCGGGGGCGGAGAGGCCGGACTCATGCCAGGCCTTTCTTTGCCTCTCCCTCTGCTCACAGAAATGGGTCTCAGAGTATAATCACGTGGCTGTTCTTAAAAGGATGGACTCCCAAATCAGGACCCCCATCACGACGTGTGTGTGTGTGTGTGTGTGCGCGCGTGTGTGAGCGAGCACGTGTGCACGCGTACATGCTGTCCTGGAAGACCCCCGATGATCTATGGGATGGTGGTCAGTTCTGTCCGAAGCTCTTTCTAATACAAACTAAAAAGAATTTTTTTAATATATATTTGTATATATATATAAGGTCTTGTTATGCCTTTTTAAAGTTTATTTACCAACTTGCATTTGTTAGTGGGGTGTGTGTGTGTGTGCGCGCGCGCGCAAACTTCTCTGTGAGTGCTGCGATCATTACCAAATAGGTTGCTATACAGGACAAGAGGTCAGTACAAGCCGCAGCCCCGCAGGTTGTTGGCAATGATTATGTCAGTGACGGCGTCGAATACCACCTGGATATTATTCGTGTCTGTGGCACAAGTCATGTGACAATAAATTTCTTTGTTGGGTGAGCGGTTTTTGCTTTCAAATTGTGCTTGGATGTAGGCGGCCGCGTCCTCGTAGGTATTGGGGCCTGCAACAAGACAGAACAGGGGAGAGGCCCCGGTGAGAGCCACGGCGGCAGGGGGGCCGGGGAGGGGGGCTGGGAACCCCCTCCCTGCCGAGGTGCGGGCTGTGGGGTCCCGGGCGTGGTCGCATCTTTCACGTTAAGACCACGTCAGCTTAGCTCTTGCCTGGCTCTTGCCTTTGTAAGGCCTTTGACTGTTTCCACAGTGGATCTGCCCAGGAGCCCTGGGAGGGCAAGGGCCACAGATCACCCCTTTTGCTTTCCAGGCGAGCACACTGAGGCTGGGGCCCGGGGCTGCCCGTCCCCACACTCATCTGTGATCTAAACCAGGACAGGGAAGTCTGATGGAAGAGCTCCCGGGAAGGGGGTGCCCTGGGATTCGTGGCATCCCAGACTGTGGTGGGTGACGAGCTGAAGCCCCTGGACAGGGCTGGGGTGTGGGAGCAGTGGTCTCCCCGGGGTGGGAAGCTTAAGGGGCTTGCCGTGTGTAACTGGCTCCGCTACCCTCCACAATCCCTTGGCTGTCCCCTGGGGTCCTGGCCGGTGCCTGGTAAGGACAGTTTTCCAACCAGCTACAACCCAAACCGTTGTGGCTCTGCCCTGCAGACAGCCGTCGATGACCACCATGGAAGGTGCACCAGCACGGAATTGCCTAAAAGCCCCATCAAAGGAAGATGCCCCATTTTCACAAGCGCAGCTGGGATCTGGCCAACATGGAGCGTCGGATCTTTCTCCCCCTCCCCTAGCCCACCCTGGTCCACTCTCCAGCCGGAAGGTCTGAGCCACGGGGGCAGACGGGGGCTCTGGCGTTCTGTAGCCAGATTAGCGAAGAGGAGGTGTCAAAGGTTAGGGGGTGGGGAGGTCTCTGAGGTGGGGGGCAGGGCAGAGGCCCCTTCTCAACCCCACTCTCGGCACCAAAAGCAGGAGAGCCCGGAGGGGCAAGTGTGGCAAAGACATCAAGTCATTGGCAGCTCGAAGACTAGACTCAGCACCGGGGTGGATCCCATCAGGGAGCTTCCTGTCCCGAGAGTGCCCGGACTGGGCGCTGATGGAGGTGAGAAGCCCGCGGGGGCGCCCCACCCAGATGGCGCGGGTGCCCCGCTGTGGCTTCGCGGCGTCTGCGGAGTCAGTACCCTTGCAGCATCCAGCCATCCCTTCGCGCTTCCCTTGCACACCCAGCCGCCCCCTGTCCCGGCCCCTGCCCCATAGCTTATTCTGTGTCCCACAGGCCTTGGTGCCCCATGGCACCACTCTGTCAGTGACCATTTGTCATCCTTCGTGGGGGGGTGGTTTGAACTCAAGCTGGATTCCTCTGGAGGCCCTAGAAAACACCCATGTTTCTCAAATTCAGGCTGACTTTCTCCGGGGGCGCCAGAGCCCTATACTGCCTGGCACCAAGACTGACCAGTCCTCGGACCAGGTCCCAGATTGGGCTCCCGTGGGTTTGGACCCTGGGGACAAGGAAGAGCCTGAGGGTTGAGCCTGCCCCCGCAAGGGTAGCACTGGCCTCAGGAGGCCTGCTGGGGCTGGTGGCTTCCAAGCCACTCTCTGGTCACCACAACTCTCTAAGGACCTGAATTGGTCCTGATGGGCCTCAGCTGAGGCTGGGGGAGGTCAGGAGTGTCTGATGAGAGCAGACTGCAGCCAGGCCGCCCACAGGCAGGGCCCCCCTCGGCCCTGGGGCAGCCGGGGGCTGGGCCTTTCCAGCTCGCCCCATGCCCTCCCGGACTCCCTCTAGTCTCCATGGCCAGTTCCCCCTTTCTTCGTCTTCCTCCTCTGAGTAACACGAGGACAGTGACAGCCAGCGGTAAGTACGCCCGGCCACTGGCTCTGTTCCTTCCATTTACCCACACGGCCACCCCGAGCGTGGGCAGCCCTGTGCCCGGGTGATCGGTTTGCCTGCAGTAGCAGGCGCTCTGGCTCTAGGAGCCCGCGCCCACCCTCTCTCTCTGCCCCGGATGGGCAGGCCCTGCGGATTCGCTGGCAGTGCTGAGCATCAGGGAGGGGACAGGCTGATGGGCCCTCCTCCCCACCCAAGGGTGGGGGCTGCCTCTTCCTCATAGTCTCTTCTGGAACCCGGCTGGGTTCGGGGACCTGTATAGCCCTGGGAGCTGAGTCCAGGCCCATCTCCCTCTGGGGCTGTCAGTGTGTGGGTTCCCGGCAGAGCCAACTTGTGACAGGACATCCTCCTCTACTGCCGCCCCAAGGGCCACTAGAAGCTTCCCAGTCCCCAGAGGGATGAAGGCTGGGCTCTGGTACCCCACCAGCGCTGGCCAGCCTTCACCAGCAGCCCAGAGCCGGGCCATCCTACAGCAGCCGCCCTCCATCCGCTGCTAGAGATGGCCTGACACCTCATCCACCCCTTCAGAAGGAGCTTCTGCATGGGGCTCTGTGACGCATCCTCCCGGGAGCCCGATGAGAGAGAAGGTGCCCCGCCAGAGAAGGCGGGAGAGAGGCAGCCAGGGATGGAGGAGGCTTGCAGAGAGTTGCGAGTGGTTTGATGTGAGGAAAAGGCCTGGGCCATAGGAAGAGGGGGACAGCAGGGATGGTGGGGTGATGGATGGGGGCGGGGAGGGGGCAGGTGTGATGGGGGAGGGGCGGAGGGCCCGGGCCGGGCACAGGCAGGGGTGCTGCACACCACGCACCCAAGCAGGTCGGGGCTCAAAAGCAGCCTGGACCGCCTTCCAGGCTATGTGCCCACGCTTGCGAATTCATGCCAAAGTGCTGTGCGGCCCCGCAGCCTGCCGGCGCAGGGCTAAGGGCAGGCCAGTGGCAAGCCTGCGGGAGGCAGGAGAGTTTTTCTAGACGGTGAGCAAGATGAAAGGGGAAGCCTGTGGTCCCGTCCTGCCTCGTGATTCCTGCCAGGGTGCTCTCGAGTCACGTGACTGCAACACCAGTGGATCTGGAGGGTCCATTTCCCACCCGGCCCAGGGCCGTGTCCTGGGAAGGGCCCAACCGGGCCACACCCTACCGTGTGTCTCGGCATCCCTGCAGGACTGGGGCGGAGGCCAGGCAGCCCGGCTCCGAGCCCATGGGCAGAGGCAGGGCCTCCCCGACACCCACCTGTGTATTCAGGAAAGCAGATGGTCAAAGGTGACTTCTTGATCTTCTCACCAAAGAGATCTTTCTTGTTGAGGAAGAGAATGATGGAGGTATCGATGAAGAACTTGTTGTTACAGATGGAGTCGAAGAGCATGAGAGACTCGTGCATGCGGTTCTGCAGCCCCAGAGGAAGGAAAGAGAGCCAGACAGACAGCGGGAGGGACAGACACGGAGACAGGGAAAGAGAAGAGAATTAGGTTTCGAGAGGGAGGAACGGGGGTGCTCAGCAGCCCAGGTGGGCGCTCCTGGGCCCCCAGGTCTCCTCCGAAGGTGACAGTAGAAACGCGCCCTGTCACAGCACAGGGCCGCTCAGTCCAGCGTGGGCCGGTCTACACCGTTGTCCCGGGACTAATGGCAGAGACTGGACTGAGACCCAGCCACCGGACAGTCTCCCTGCATGGGTGGGTGTGTAGGGGTGGGGGAGGCGGTGCTGAACGGAGCCCGAGAGCTGGGTTGCGGCACTTCCGGCCCAGTCTTTCCTCAGGGGCCCTATCTGTGGGTGGAAATGTCCTCTGGGAGTGGTGAGGGACGGAGGGGAAGTCACTCCAGGCTCTTGCCAGCATCCTTGGGGGCCACCGCTGTGGGGAGATGGTCCTGCCCAGGCTCCCCGCCAGGCAGGGGGCCCTGGGGGTCTGGCCAGACTTCCTCTGGCTGGGCCAGACTCAGCCACGTCTGACACTGCACGGAGTTTGAAGCAATGCAGACGTGAAGTACTGTCTTGCACACACAGATCTGTTTAGCAAAGGAGTGACTGTGATGGCCACTCCCAACAGAGCAGAGCCTGAGGGGGGCGGCCCTTTGCCCTGGGCAAGGACTGGCTCATTCTACGGTGGGGTGTCAAGCACATAAACTTGAGTAATGTTTCTTGGCAATGCAGGGGAGCATGTGTCTCTGTGAGCGAAGACATTTCTGCATGGGAAGGTGGTTCCTCCATGGAATGTACCTTCCCAGGGAAAGGGACAGCCACTCATTTTCCCCAAGGAGCCTGTCCTCGCCTCGGGAACTTATCCATTCCAAACCCAGCTCCATGGCTAACTCCAGGCCATGCTGTTCCTCTCTTAAGAAGATTGAGACAAGTAATTGCAGAGAGGTGGCATGGGGGTCAGCTCCTTCCCTGGGGCCCAGCCAGAGCTGCAGCTGAGTACATTGTCGGTTGAATCGCCGTGGCCGCCCTCCTCTGTCTGAGTGGAGGGCAGGTGAGGAAGATGGTGGGGTGGCCTCTACCGGTCACTGGGCCCCCCTCTGCCGAGCACCAAGCCCAGCGCTTCACCTGCCTCACGTGATTTAGCCTCATCAACCCTGAAGGAATAGGGAGAGCCAACAGAGCGGGGGCCCAGAAGAGCAGAGACATGGACCCGGCTCTGGGCCAGAGCCAGAGCTTATGACACCAAATGGGTTTGTCCAGCCAAGATGAGCGGTCTGTGGCCTTTAGAGGAATAAGTCCTAAGAGGGTCACGACCAGTTCTGCGCATCTTCAGCCCCTCTTCCATGACGGCATTATTACCCCAATGACCTGTAAGGGTCTCCCAGCCCCAAACCCTATTCTTACGGCTCAGGCCAGTTGCTGGAACATGTGCTCAGCTGCCCCTTGGGAGCCTGCACACTAGCGTGGTTCTCAGCTCCTCTGCGAGCTGCAGGAAACGGCCTTGTCCTGCTCTGTAAACCAGTTCAGTAAACACCTATGATCTTGTTACCCTCCCAGCCTCAACTGGCACATTCTGTTCTCAGCACCCCCAAAGTCGGCCCGCCGCCTGCACAGTTGCACTCAGGGAGGCTCCCCGGGGCCGTTCAGATGAGGACGGGTGGAGGCCCAAGGCCGAGGGCTGGGAACACTCAGGCTCCTGGCGCCACCTCTGGGGGCAGAGGACAGATGCTAGGAAAGGACTCACTAGGAAAGGGCCTCCCACCACACAGAGCCGCCTGGTCCCATAGCCGCTCAACCAGGAGCTGGAAGCCCACAGCCAGAGTCCGGCTCCCAAGTCCACTGCACCACTGTCCCGAGCATCGTTTTGGTCTTCAGACACTGGGGGATGTGGCGGGGACATACGCTGGAGCACTCCCAGGACCAGAAGGGATCACCAGGGTGACCTGAGCAGAGCGGGGACTGCATCCCTTTGGCATACGGGCTGGCCCGAGGGCTTGCAGGAGAAGTGGGGGCCAGCCACTTGGGCCCCACACGTCCACTCTGCTAAGGCTCAGCCCCTCCAAGGCCTCTCTGTCCAGGGCTGCAGGGCACGTGCATGCACCTGCTCTGCCCAGCAGCACCAACTGGATTTGTGTGCGGGGGCCTCTGCTGGGAGGCTGCTGGGAGGCTGTGGGAACGACCAGCTCAAGTCTTGCTCTCTGAGAGCTCACAGTCTAGTTGGGGGGACAGTGCACACACTGAAAAGGTCTTCAGGGGGAAGAGGCGCTCTGCAGAGTTGGACCTGGTTTTGTGGGAAGGGTCTTGGAGGAGGGCTGATCCTGGAGGCTCGGGGAGAACTGTGGGGAGGGGAGGCGCCGGCACTGAGCCCCCTCCACACCCGCAGGCCCGACTGCCCTCCCTCCGCACGCGGACCAGAACCCACCACCCGTGAGCCCGGAGCCCTGCTTGTCCTTGCAAGCTTCCCCGGAGCAAGCAGACGCAGGAGTATATGCCAAATGGAGAAAGCAGCACTTGAGAGAAGAGAAAGAAGCCAGAGATCACA